CGCGCGTCCCCCCCCCCAGCCACTCCACTGGCTGCAATGGGTCTGGCTCCCGGCCAAACCAGTGATTTCAGCTCTTAGTGATTTCAATTCTTTAGCCACCACCTAGATTGGCAAAAGATGCCAGCTCCGACTGGACTAGCAAAAAGACTCCTCTTGGAGTCTACTTCAGGTCTGTCCTTGAAACAAAAGGGGAAAAGAAACAGGTTGGGCCAGTCTTACAGCTCACACCTGGCAGGCATGAAGCAGGCTGACTCCAGCCCTTTAGCCCTTCCCCCCCAACTCAGTTCACTCAACTCTGGAAGGGGGGAGGCTTATTCCTCACAGGCCTCTTCCAGTGATAAGTCTCTCTCCTGCAAGCACTGGTGTAATGTTTTACAGTTCCCACATTTAGGGGTAGCATGATGTGACCCCCACAACAGCCCCAAATTATTTACAATATACCACATTTCATTCCAACACTGATCCTCCATCAGCCCTGGCTGAGTTGGATTTACATAGCCACACCTCGGATTCCTTCCCCCTCCTGGCATGAGCTATATTTACATATCAACCATTAACAGTTAATTATCTTGCAGAGTTAAACAATTGGAGTGAGCACACCAACCCCCAGAGCAGCTCCGTCCTTTTAGCTGGCTGATAACAAGCAGTAGTTCAGCCCCTGCTTACATTACTAAAGCTAAATATGAAAAATGGAGTTTTGCACTTAAACGGCCATTTTCAAACCAGGGTGTGTTTTTTTGTTGTTGTTTATAAACACAGAATATTGATTCTACTTATGTTTTAATTCTGATGTTAATTATTTTAACCTTGTACAATTTCTATCAGTCACACTTTTTAAACGTGGATTCTAACTTGTATGCATGAAAGACAAAATTGAACACTTTTTGCCAGCCAATCTCTACCTTTCAAAATTAAAAATAGCCTTTATTCATTTCAGGATAATGATCTTAGGGTGCATTTGTAAGTAAATACAATGGGCCTGATTTTTGCTATCAGTAGAAGTTCACTGTGTACCGTTCTTTCCAGGTTTGAGCAAGCTAAGCATCAAAATGTAGGGATAATGCTATGCACTATTCTTTTTCAAAACATCATGTTTGTGGGCACAACCCAGACCAGATGGGGTTGTGTAACCACCTGCCCTGTAACTTCTGGGTGTCTAAAATTGCCTACTGCTATTCATCACAACCTGGATGCAGCAGCCGACCTACAAGAATACAGGTCACATCCTGAATGCTAAGTGCTATGCAACCCCGGGTCAGCAACTCTGACTCTCACAGCCAGCCTGCACTGCAATCATCTCATGATGGCTTTCACCTGCCTCAGTTACTAGCTTAGTGACCCCAACACACTCCCAGTCTTGAATTTTCCCATAAACATGTACCCTTCAGTGTCTGGCCCTCTCCAGGACCACTCAGAGAAATAAGGTTAGTTGATACTTTCAAGAACTCCAAAGCATGTTAGATTGTAATTTAATTTCAAACAAAGCACTGGATTGATTTATAGTAAAAATAAAATACATTTAGAAACAAAGGACAGAGGTTAAGTGATGCTGAGTAAAAGGAAGAGTGTGTGTAATAGTTACAAGCAAATAATAGTGAAAATATTCATCTGAAAGTCTAGAAACTAATTTGATCGGGTACAGATTTTGTTCAAGATGGTTGATCTCACTAAATCTTCCTTCTCCCCAGCCATCGATGACTTTTCCCTCAGTCAGGACCTTCCAAAGCACAAGATAGTATCTTCATAAGCTAAAGAAGCCTCTCTCTCACCTATCGTCAGTCCCCAGGGGTTTCATCACCTCTGTTGGTTGAAGGACCCATTTTTCTCAGCTTGCAAGACAGCTTGTGTCTGTCAGGTGATGGATGCCGAAGATCCCTTCTGTCTTTGCTTATATCTTCCGAAGTTCAATGCCCTTATTTCAAAAGGCCAAATGACCTCATACTGTTTTTTCCTATATGTGGGAGGATGGAAGTGGGACTTCCATTACTTTGATTCTACCACTCTCAGGTTTTACTCAGGGGATAAGTAAATAGCCATGCCATTCCCACCTGTCTGGCAGAGACCTGTTTCTCCCTTTGATAGTAGACTTTGTAGTCAGTGTCCTATCAATGAGTATCCATAATGCTTTTTAAAATCACCCGTGTATCATAGGCTTTCATAAAACAGTTCATTTGATACATTTTATAATTCAGTTGCTTATGACTTGAGGTACAGAGCCCCTGTCTGTACAGCCCAGATAAAGTTTCTCTTTCCTGCTAGAAGCTGTCTGCTCACCTGCTTGATAGCTTTGTTTACCTAATATGGAAATGTCTTTACTTGATGACTAGCTATTCCTTTGTCTTGGACAGACCTATTTATTAAGTCTTCCTGATAGGCCTGTCAAACATACTTTAGTAATCATTTCAGTAACATTTAATACATTACATAAGATTACGAATCATCAAATAATACATTACATGTTGCTGTTTAAAAACAAATATGATGATATCAGTGCATATCTTTTCACCAGGTGAGAGACATGTTTTTAAACTCCACAGAACTTTCTGTGTAAGCTTGATAGCTTATCTCCCTTATGAACAGAAGTTGGTCAAATAAAATAAATATTAACTCACCTACTTTGCCTCTAAAGCCACGTTTTCACTTGCAGGAAGATTGATGCTGCAATAGTCAATCTTTTGGCATTTGATTTAGCAGGTCTAGAAAAGACCTGCTAAATCAGACACTGAGGGTGTCCTTGTTGGTACTGGTAATGAAGTTTCTCCTATCAACCCCCTGTTGTGGGGCCACCCCAGAAAATTAAAGCTAAAGTATGTCAACTCCAGCTATGCAGTTGTCATAGCTGGAACTGCATATCTTATATTGATTTTCTCCACCAGAGTAGAGCTGGCCTAAGAGTTGCTAACATAGTGAACCACAATAGGCCTCTGTATAGTAGACAGTATGCTATATTATTCAATGAGGGAGCACACATTCAGTAGTGTTTCTTATAGAAACTTCTTTGGTCATAAAAACCAATCCCATTATTTATGGCCTGCTTCATAGAAAATTGACACTACGAAATCATGGCAAATGCACTGCTGATTAAAAAGTTGTAAAAACTATTAATTACATAAGATGTTAAAATGATATACTGCTCAGTTAACTTTCCTATTGAGCTTTAAATTGTATGACTTGGAAAAAAAACTTTGCTACGTAGATTATCAAAGGCTCTCCAAAGCAGGAAGCATAACTTTAGTACAATAAGAAAATGTAAAATTACATAAAGCAAGAGCCCAAAACAAACATTCTCTGATTTTGAAAAACCTGCTCTAGTCTGGGTACAGTACACAAACCCATGTGCCCTTAAGTCAGCATTAATACATCAAGAATTGTGCTGCATTAAAAACATGTTACATGCTGTATTCCTTACTGGTAGGAGGAGGCTCTCTCCTCATTTGCATTTTAAAGAATGCTCTTTATTATTATTTTAGAACAGACACCAGCAAAAAACTTTAAACTGGTCTTGTGAAAATATGTAAATTTGTTCTTTGAATCAGGAGTGTGTCTTAATTATCTTGTTTTCTTGCACACTTAAAACAGAATAATGCCTCATTCTAAAAAAACTACACACAGTACATTGGGTTCATGGAATACTGCACAGTTCAGTTGGTTGGACAGGGTCATATGATCCAGCTATTTAGGCTACATTTGGTAATCCAAAAAAGTGAGATCTTTTCCAGCTCCCCTCTCCATCTCGTTTCTCCTTTACCTGCTGCCTGTAGTCCCAGACCTCTTATTTAGTCTTCAATATGCATTTAATCATTTTCTGGACGGGCTTCTTCAGGTCTCAGATGTTCCTGAGGTTTCTCTCAGGTTCTGCTTAAACATGATTTTAATGCAGGCAGAGTGTTCTAGGAGTATCACAATCCCATTAAAAGAGACTAGCTACCAGTTTGCCATCCAGTCTCGTAAGTAAAATCTGTTCTCAAAAAAAATCTATAAAATGGTCAGTCCTTACATTCTGTAGTACAGACCTTACATGAGAATAATTCTGACAGCCTCAGAACAATGATCCCAACACAATGCTCAGAACAACAACAGAAAAGCTATAATATGAGGATTGCCCAGGAAATGCCTGATTAAACAGTCACCATCCTCTTTCCTGAAAATGTCTAAAATGGTAATAAACAAAAATAGTCTCATTTACATTTATGTAAATAAAATGCCTGAACCATCTTTTACAGATTCAATTTCTACTCACCATTATCCACACACTTAGTGCCGCTGTGAAGCCTTGTGGATTTCCATTTGGTTGTCTCATGTTCCAGTCTTCATACATGGCAACGCTGGTTATTCTGTTTATAAACTTTTATATTAAGGTAAGCTGGGGAACGTAAAAATCATATACTGAGCCCTGATTTCATGTTATATTTATTAAGCCAATGATTTTCTGAGCCAATGATTTTCTGATGAGTGCAGCTTTTTCTGAATTTATACTCTCTTACACTGAGCTATCAAAAACGTGGAATGTTTTGCCAGATAGACTGATCCATGACATACGAAACTGTAATACAGTCAAGTTTTGCTAATACTTTATTGAAAGGATACGCCAGATTTCTTTTTAATGTTTGTTGTTTTTGTTTTATCATTTTAGTTGTTACAGAATATGGATGTAGTAAACTATGTGGAAAAAAAAATTAAGTGATCCTTAGCTCAGGGAAATTCCATTTCCATTCTCACTAAGTGCTGAATTCTACAGTGTTCTGAGTACTTCCTGCAAGCTCTTTGCTATTTTTATTGGCATTTGAGGACAGAAAAGGAAATAAAGTGATGGAATAATTGTTAATTTTTGGGCCTTCAGGGCCTGACTACAGTCAATAGAAGGACCTCAGTGAATTCAGCAGGCCCTGAATCCAGGGCTGGCCCAAGCCATTCGTGCGCCCCAGGAGCCAGTGCTTCCCCCGGGTGCCTGGAGGGAGCGCAGCGCCGCCCCTGGGTGCCCGGCGCATGCGCAGCCCCACCCCCGCCCAGTCCAGCAGCCCCGAATGGTGCTCCGTACAATGGGGCGCCCCAGGCGGTAGCCCAGTCAGCCCGTAGTTTGGGCCAGCTCTGCCTGGATCAGACTAGAAGACACTAATCCTTCAAATTTTCCTTGTGCAATTAGGCTCATTGAGTCCATCAGAACTAACAACAAAAAGGTTTAGTTTCATAAGTGAAGGCAGGCACAAAGCAAGACAAACATCAGATGCAATAGACAACATGAAATGTCACAAGTAATTCTAATAATGATCATGAATGCTCTTACTTTTTAAAAGCTTTAATTTTAAAGACGAGTTATAAAAATTAAAGCCACCACTCTATCCCAATTAAAAGAAAAAAATTAAGTACATGCAAATAAGCAATAAAACTTATTTAGAATAGATGTAGAAAATATGAAGGAATATCCCATCATACACAACTTATTGATGGAAAATAGAAGATAAACCTAATAAAAAACAGTGACATTAAATGGAAAAAATCCATATAGAAAACAGAAAAATACATTTTAAAACAAAAAAAATTATAGCCTTTCTTAATCAGTCTATATTAATCAGTTAACCATAAAGTGGCAGATTGATAAATTGTCTAATTATCTATCAGACTCCAGCCCTCTTCAAATCAGTGGCACAACTCAATTTTTTTGTTTTCCAATCTTTTTTCCATGCCCTTGAAAATTGCTGAAGACCTCGGTGGACCACTTAATGATTTTTCCAAATGTTGTTTGTACCATTAGTTAACTATTGTACAGTGTTCTGGATCAAAGCAGTTTATTTAAAAAAAAATGTAATCACCTTTCCTCTGTCCACCTGAATAGAGTTCTTGGACCACAGTTTGAGGACTTTAGTCTAGATGAAGTTTGCATTTGCAATATGCGTATATGAAAATGTGTAAAAATAAAAAGTAGAGATTAGGTACATAGATTGCTTTATTATTTTCCTCAGAATGACAAACAGGAGGGACAATCAAACTCAGCCTGGCAGAACAGCATGCATGAGAACTGTTTCTGGACAGATAAGCAATTGATCAAAATCACAGTCCCTGATCTCCTGCTGGGGCCAAATCCTGTTCCCACTGAAGTCACAAGGAGTTTTGCAAGTGAATTCAATGGGAACAGGCTTTGACATCTGGAGTGGAAAGAATAAAGCCACTTGAGCAAGGGCTATGTTGCTTATACCACAGATACCAGAGACTGCTGATTCATGGGAGAAGGTCAACAGACATCTGATCTTTGTCCAATGCAAGGGAGAAATCAACGATCAGTGTGGCTAGGAGAATCTCTGTACCACATCCAAATCATTGCCTCCCCATAGCCCACAGTCCGCCCACCCACACTCCCCTGCTCTGCTATTTGGGGCTCATCCCCACCCAACAGTCCTCTTTGCCTCTTCTCTCTATGGACCCATAGGGAAGCCCATCTCACCCTGACCCAGGACTGTGTAATAGTGAAGCTTGAAGGTGAGCCATTGGGCATTTGTGTTCCCTGGTACATCAGAAGTAACAATTCCACTGCTTCCATCCATGAAGTGCTAGAAGCAAGGAGGAGGGGAGGTGGATTCTCCTGAGTAGGCACTGATTCACTGACCAAGAGGAACAGGGGCTTTATCACCATCTGAGCTTGGCGACATCAGAGATGAGCCCCAGAAAGGGCTATTCTCCACCTAGGCACAACAGCCTCAGACCCCTTCCTGTTTGGCTCTTCTTTCTGAGGTCCTTAAGCATCTCTGCCCTACCCCTTCCCTTTCTGTGTGAGGAAAAGTCCATTAAACCAACTTCAGATAGGGTGGATGCTTTCCAGGGTCTACAGTGAGCTAAGTGTTCAGCTTCACTACTGACTTGCCCCTTGCCTTCTTGTGCTGGCTACATGCTTTTTGGGCATTAACACAAGAGCAAACAAACTTACAAACAAAACAAACCAACACACCCCTGCCAGAAAATGAGGCATTTGTTTGGCTTGCTGATCCAGTGTGAGGCCCACCTGTCAATAGCAACCCTCCCCCCTCCAAATCTGCCCATTTGCCTATGTTATTTACTTAAGTCTTTGGGACATTAACTTTTTCTTACTGTATGTTTACACATTGTGTTTAGCACAGAGTCTGTTGTCTCAGTCCCCATCTTTAGGTGTTACACTATGTTGTACATAGCACAACTCCTCTAGACCAGCCTATGAGCAGATATATATTGGCTTCTAGCAGACACATGAGAGCTCAAGTCAAATTTTCATTATTAGCTGTAAGAAGTATGTTGGATTGTATGTGGTGGGAGGTGGGGAAGGGGAATGCTTCTACTAAACTAAACCAACTCTTCACTTTGGGTTTTTGTTCTTTATAGACATACCAGAAAAGGCCTTCAAGAACCGATATGAAGAAGATTCCTCCTGCGACAGAAATCAGGAATGGTTTCCATAAGGACTATTTCGCTGCAGCCAATGGTGTTCTGAACAATAAGAAAGCACAATAAGTACAGTAATTCAATACTACACTGTAGTATTTTTCATTTTTTCTAATAAAAGAGAGAGACTGAATTACAAGACAGTTTTAGTGTAGACTCTGACTCAGCTTGGTTACATTTATCAGATCTTTGTACCAGACATTTATTAACGTATTACTATTTAGATTTTAACAACGTGTAGCTTTAAGTGCTTTGCCCAAGATCACCATCAAAATGAGAGGCCACTGGAAACATCATATCCTTCCCACGTGCAAAAAAACAAAACAAAAAAACCAAACCATTCTACAATCTCGAATGCTGTTAAAATGCCTTACAAAACATTTCACTGGAAACCCCAAAGAGAGATCACATTTTCAAGGTAGCCATCAACAGATCACGTTTTACTCAGACTAAAAAGTTTTGGCATGTCCTAAACACACAGAAGGCCGCCAGAACAGGTTTGTTATACTCTGCTGAGTTATGCTGAAAGGCAGCTACATGATCAATGGTTTTGACTAATTTAGACGTGGAAATCAAAGAGGGTAGATAATTTAAAATTAATGCCTGACACCATCAGCACTCCAGTTTTGTACCTTCACAGCCTCTCTCAAAATAGGGAGGAACTGGTTTAGAATTTGAAAGTGGAAGGCAGCTTGGGTGAAAGTGATCATGAAATCATAGAGTTCACAATTCTAAGGAAGGGCAGAAGGGAGAACAGCAAAATAGATTTCAGGAAGGCGGATTTTGGTAAGCTCAGAGAGCTGATGGGTAAGGTCCCCTGGGAATCAAGACTGAGGAGAAAAACAACTGAGGAGAGTTGGCAGTTTCTCAAAGGGACATTATTAAGGGCGTAAAAGCAAGCTATTCCACTGCGTAGGAAAGATAGAAAATATAGCAAAAGACCGCCTTGACTTAACCATGAGATCTTGCATGATCTAAAAATAAAAAAGGAGTCATATAAAAAATGGAAAGTAGGACAAATTACAAAGGTTGAATACAGGCAAACAACACAGGAATGCTGGGGCAAGATTAGAAAGGCAAAGGCACAAAATGAGCTTAAACTAGCAACAGGAATAAAGGGAAACAAGAAGACTTTTTATAAATACATTAGAAGCAAGAGGAAGACCAAGGACAGGGTAGGCCCACTGCTCAGTGAGGAGGGAGAAACAATAACAAGAAACTTGGAAATGGCAGAGATGCTTAATGACTTTTGTTTCAGTCTTCACCGAGAAGTCTGAAGGAATGACTAACATAGTGAATGCTAGTGGGAAGGGGGTAGGTTTAGAAGATAAAATAAAAAAAGAACAAGTTAAAAATCATCTCGAAAAGTTAGATGCCTGCAAGTCACCAGGACCTGATGAAATGCATCCTAGAATACTCAAGGAGCGGATAGAGGAGGAATCTGAGCCTCTAGCTATCATCTTTGGAAAATCATGGGAGACAGGAGAGATTCCAGAAGACTAGAAAAGGTGCCCATCTATAAAAAGGGAAACAAGAATAACCCAGCAAACTACAGATCAGTTAGTTTAACTTCTGTGCCAGGGAAGATAATGGAGCAAATAATTAAGGGAATCATCTGCAAACTCTTGGAAGGTAGTAAAGTGATAGGGAACAGCCAGCATGGATTTGTAAAGAACAAATCATGTCAAACCAATCTTATAGCTTTCTTTGATAGGATAATGAGTCTTGTGGATAAGGGAAAAGCGGTGGATGTGGTATACCTAGACTTTAGTAAAGGCGTTTGATACAGTCTCACATGATATTCTTATCAATAAAGTAGGCAAATACAACTTAGATAGGGCTACTATAAGGTGGGTGCATAACTGGCTGGATAACCGTTCTCAGAGAGTAGTTATTAATGGTTCTCAATCCTGCTGGAAAGATATAACAAATGGGGTTCTGCAGAGGTCTGTTTTGGGACCGGCTCTGTTCAATATCTTCAACAACGATTTAGATATTTGCATAGAAAATACACTTATTAAGTTTGCAGATGATACCAAGCTGGGAGGGGTTGCGACTGCTCTGGAGGATAGAGTAATAATTCAAAATGACCTGGACAAATTCGAGAAATGGTCTGAGGTAAACAGGATGAAGTTTAAGAAAGACAAATGCAAAGTGCTCCACTTAGGAAGGAACAATCAGTT